GTGTGTGTCTTGTCCCTTTCCCTCCCATTGTCCTTGAAGGGAGGAACATCACCAAACAAACCAGAGCAGTCTCGACTAATGTATAGTTACAGAAGGGTTGTTTAACTTTCCTCTRACATAAGCAGATGATAGGAATACAATACTCAGCTAACCTAGGACACTCSTCCATGTGGGCTGCTAACATCCCTTTCTTTCCCCAGGCCTCAGTCATACACAATAATTGGCTGAGTTTCAGAATCAGGGCTTGTGGGGCCCCTTTTCCCCAGCACAATCCCCCATCCCTGACCCCGTGTTTGTTCYGCAGGCGCTCGATGATGTTCGCAGCAAACCCAAAACCCGATGAGGAGCGGCCCGAGCCATGGAGGGCCCAACCCCAGAGCCCGCCTACGTCGACGTGGACAAGGGGCTGACATTAGCCTGCTTCGTGTTCCTCTGCCTCTTCCTGATCGTGATGATCATCCGCTGTGCCAAAGTCATCATGGACCCGTACAGCGCCATCCCCACCTCCACGTGGGAGGAGCAGCACTTGGATGACTGAGCCATGTCCCATGAGCCGTGTCCCATGCAGGGCTGTGCTCCAGGAGCCTTTTCTGACACACAAACAGCCAGCTGTGAAGATATGCAGCCCAAAGGCAGTGTCTCCAAGAGCACACAGCAGAAATGATTTTTGCTCGGCAGGTATCGGTGAGCCGTTCYGGCAGCAGAGTTTACTACTATGCAKCAACTCTTATTTTACAGTTGTCGTTGTAAGTCGAGTAGCACAAGATCCTCCAGACTTTTCCTAATGTAACTCTTGGTCTAGCACAGTTTTGTCCTCAGTGTCACCCACCAATCCAGGGTAACCACCAATACCATAAAAAGACAACAGGAATGTTCTGTCTTTCCTGGAAACAGATTGCCTCAAATATTGATTGCTTCCTTGGTCATTATAGCTGCATTTTAGGAAAGGCCCAGATTTTCAATTCCAGGCATCACAAAGCAGAACTCCTGAAGTCCCTCTGGTTAAGCAGGATTATCTGAACAGATTTATTCTTGCCATGCTCTCCCTACCCCACTGCAGCCATATTTCCAGGGGGCAGGACACAGAAGCACTCAGAGTAACGGGGTCCTGGACTGCTGTTGACCCCATAACACCACTTTGCTCTGCCCTACTCATAGAAAAACCAGGCACATCCCCTGCAATGGGATTAGTCAGGCCACTTACTACGAGCTTGACAGGCACCAAAAACCCCTGGAGCAGAGCCTGGACACTGCTGGTGTCAACTACACAGAACCTGCAGTGATTTTCAAAGAGTGATTCCACATGCCATCTCCCCCATCTTTCATTTCAGGTGTGCTGAGTGGAATGGGACAGGACTGGAATGACCAGGACAATAAGCAGAGAGATTTTTTTCTCCCAGCCTTGTCACTCAGACTCCTCAGCACAACATTTGCAGTAACACACAATAATGAGCATTCTACCTCGGAGAAATTCTGCTCCTTCAGAGGAGGATTTTTCCCGCAGATTTGTAAGGTACACGCGCTTCTCTCAATTCATTAAGAAGGCATAAGTGAACATGGGAGCTCTGGAAGTTTATTATTCACCTTTGAAGAGCAGGGACTGCAGCATCCCAAAGTCCTCTAATTGCTCAGATTTCAAGRTTTGCTTGTGGCTGCCTCTTCTTTCAGTGCACATTCATCTGCTGGGGTGGAAAGGAAASCACCCAGAGCAGGGACAGCCACCACAGCAGCCACAGGAACAGACAAAGCTTGAAAGCACAAAACTCCAGGAAGGGCATTTCTCCATTTCTGCCCCTGATCCCCACGTTCTTTCCATGGCTGAGCTCATCTGAGAGCTCTGTGTCCAACTTTTTGGGAGATGAGGCTCAGGATATGGAATTGCAGTAGAGGAGGGCACCTGCTTTGAGGAGAGTCTCTAAATTCCTCATCGTGAGAAGAATTCATATTTAAACAAAGCAATTTTTTAATTACTAAACAAGGTTTTTATGAATTATATCATTGAGATAGATAYATATATTACATMTATCACCCTTTAGATCTTGATTTTTCTCAGGTGAGAAAGGTGGAAGCAAAGGCTGTGATGAGGAATGGGACCCAGAGTTTGTAAGGCACTGTTTGTAGCTCTGACAGATTTGTCTGATGATCGCACAATGAGTCAATTCTTTACGTGCCTCAGTCTGTTCATCAGTGAAATATTAACAATATTACCTTTTTGTTTATTACCTTACCTCGTTTTGTCCACCTCATAGCACCAGGAAGCACCTGGAGAGCCTTGGACAGGGACACAGAAAGAAGGTTCTTGCTTACAACTCTTCCTGCTGAAGCCAACRGGGAAGCTCTGGACCTTTCTGTGCTGCAGGGGAGGATTTGCCAGACCCCATTCACTCCCCCTCAGCAGCATTTCGAGCCAAGCCTGGCTCTTTTTACCCAGCCCACTAATTCCTGAGGATTCAAGGTGCTCAAACTGCGAGTACAGAGATCCCCACACAGCAGGCTGTGAGCACAGAACAGCTCTTGCCCACGTGGATCTTTTGAACCACATCATTTCTGATGATCTCTGTTGTAGGAGATCACATTCATGAGGAAATTTGAAGATTAGCTTTCATCCTGATGTCCTCTAGCAAGAGACCTCCAGTGCTTCCATTACCCACTGCAGATTGCTCCTCAGGCTGTTATTTAGCCTCAGCCTCTGCTAGTAGATAATCACCARTAACAGAGCACTTTTTCAGGCTTGAATGTTAAATGTTCATCATTCTTGGAGCAAACCCACTGTTCTTATTTGTGGGTGAGTCTATCTGTACCATAGGGATGGATATCCTAGCTCAAAGAAGAGCATTCTGATCCCTGGGCTAACATTTAGAACCTGTTTTTTGTCCTTAAATCTTGTATCCCACTAGAGGGGCTACTTGAAAAAATAATGAAATAACAAAATAAATAACAAAATAATAAAGTAACAAAATAATAAAATAACAAAATAACAAAATAACAAAATAATAAAATAACAAAATAATGCCCAGGCTAGGGACACTTCCAGTTTGCAGGTCACCTGGCTGTGTTCAGAGCTGCTGCAGAGAAAGGACAGAGCTCATCCTCCCACCTCCCAATACTCCACTMGGTGTTTTTCTGCATGCAGAGCTCTTTGGCATTGCCACCCATCCCTGACAAGTCCCTGTTCAGCTAACAACTTATTCAGGTGCTTAAATTTAAGCAGCCTCAGAGCAGGCTGCCCAAATACAGAGAGCAGGATCAGTCCCTGGCAGGGCAGGGACAGCAAGACCCGGTCCTTGCAGGAGCAAAATCTGGGTRACAATGAAGGGTTACAAATTCTGAGGAAGCAAATTGAAAAATTTGCTTTACAAGAAGTTTTTGCCACTTCTTTCACTCTGTGTCCAGCTGAACCAACTATTTTATGGATTTTCCTGAAAATCCTAATGGAAATACCCAGCTGCCTCYGGGTAGCTCTATTTTCTAATAAAAAGGCACTTGTCTTCCTGGCATAGGCTGTCAAGTCCATCCTTCTGTTGACAAAAAAGCTCTTCATAGAAATCTGGATATTCACACACATGACTGTGTAAAAGTCAAGGAGATTATTTTTACAGAGATGGAGTAAATCTATTGATCCCTTCACTCTTGTGACCAGTGACAGGACTTGAGCCTGAGTTCAAGGAGCTTTGGCAGCACTCTCAGGCACACAGTGGCATTTCTGGGATGTCCTGTGCCAGGCCAGGAGCTGGACTGGACAATCCTGCTGGGTCCCTTCCAACTCAGCACATTCTGTGATTCATTCCAGTTCCTGAAGCTCACTCCCTTTAACCCAAAGCTCACTCCCTTTAACCCAAAGCAATACAGAGCATCATGCCAGACCAGCCATCCCGTGCTCCTGGCCCTGGCAGCCAGGACTGGCCCAGCCCAGGCTGTCCCTGCAGTTCTGGCCCTGCTGGTGGCCAGGGAGGGTCTCCTGGAGCAGGAGCTGCACCTCTGGTAGCAATTTCAGCTGCATGCAACAAGTGCCTCTGCTAGTTTTGGTTCTTTTCTAATCATTGTGCCATACGACCAGCAACTGCACTCAGAGGATGTAACTCAGACTTGTTGCAASTGTATTTATCGAACATAATAAACTGCTTCAACGTGGAAAACCTCCCTGCTGTCTCTGTTGTGGTTTTCTTCGAGCTGCCAGGACATCTTGAAAAACACAACATAATGTGGTTTACAGAAAGGGCACGCCTTGGGGAGTGAGAGCAAGGAACAACTCCCTGTGTAGCTGCACCATGACAGACACTCAGGGCAGAGCTGATGGAGCCCCAGGTGCTCCTGTGGCTCTGCAGAAGCTCAGCCTTTCCAAAGGGGCTGTTCCAGGTTATTCCCTTGGTCAGGAAGAGCGCTGAGCTGAGCTCCAGCCCAGTGGGGAAGCRCAGCATCTGTATTTCAGCAATTCATCATCAGTAACAAATTGCATACCAAAAGAAACGGGGCCACTGAGAGCAGGAATCCCTCCTGCCAGCAGCTGAAAATGAAGAGCACAGAGCATCTGTGGGGGTCTCTTTGAAGGAGCCACAGAGTGTGAGATATGCAGGGTAAAAAGCACCCAGGGAACTCCTCCTCYTGAAAAAGATGAAGAGATGAATTGCTAATTCTTTCATCTTAAAAAAAAAGAGCTCTGTTGCCTGAAAGCTTGGTGCTTCATAGATCTGCTCGTCCCTGCAGCAAGTCCTCTGGCAGAGGGATCTTTGTGCCTGGAGCCCAGTTTGCCTYGAGGACTAAACCCCACTGAGAAATCATCCCCTCTCCCCTCAGCAGGAGCAGAGCTGGAGCCTTTGCAGTGCCTTCAGCACMGCCACTGTGACTGAGGAGGAGCAGAACTGCAGCAGACACCCTGGAAATGTTCCTCTCAAAGAAGGAGGGGCTGATGGCGAGCCAGAGACCCACACGAGCGATGCTGCTGTGGCCAGAGGTGTCCCCAATGCTGCTGGGTCACCCCAAACCTGCTGGGTCACCCCAATCTGCTGGGTCACCCCAATCTGCTGGGTCATCCCAGCCTCAGTGACATCTCCATCCCAACCTGCTGGGTCATCCCAGCCTCGGTGACATCTCCATCCCAATCTGCTGGGTCATCCCAACCCTGGTGACATCTCCATCCCAATCTGCTGGGTCATCCCAGCCTCGGTGACATCTCCATCCCAACCTGCTGGGTCACCCCAGCCTCAGTGACATCTCCATCCCAACCTGCTGGGTCATCCCAGCCTCAGTGACATCTCCATCCCAACCTGCTGGGTCACCCCAATCTCAGTGACATCTCCACCCCAACCTGCTCCATCTCAAGACTCAGCTGGGGAAATTCTGTGCTCAGGCTCCTGCCATCTCCTTCGTACTTTTCATTATTTTAAACCCATTTTAATTAAAAATGGTCAATACCCCTTGGCCACTATTCCTCCTCGCTAACCAGGAGGAAAACTCTGCTCGCACACACGTTTTTAAAGCAATGAACAGTTTGAAATTCCTGGTTGCATTTATTCTTAGGGTTCAATTCAATCCCCAATG